ATGTAAATGTAGTCATTTTTTATCCGAAATGAGTTTTTAACATATTTAAAAATGTCATTTAAATAACAAAGCAAATATAAATCAATCCTTTACGATAAAAATATCATAAAAATCTATCTTCCATACGTAAGCAGCTTTACCTGTTCGCCAGGGATGCCTGGAGGTCCTGGTTCAGCATCTTGTCCTGGAGTTCCATCTTTTCCAGGTGGACCCTGATGACCCAGCAATCCTTGTAGTCCAGGTCTGCCCTAGAGAACAACGTTAAACATTCATCCTGAATCTCATGAACTGAATCAAACTAAAGCTTCAGGACGTCTTGACCCACAAAGTGTAATCAAGGTAATCATATAAACTGTCTGGCCCAGCTCTGGCCCACACAGTGCACTAACACTCTTAACACTCAGCTCAGATACCACAAAGAACAATGTCTCTTTGGCAGCCCAGATGTGGTTTACCAGAGGTGGTCCATGCCTGGGCCAGCACCACATAAACCAAACTGGGCCAGTCATGGCATGCCATCTTAAAAACAGTACCATCATTGCCAGACCTTGCCCACTTTCAGCTGACAAACCACTTTACATGCCAACAGTCAGCCCAACACCGGATCTGGCCCACACCTGTGGATTCTTTATCTCTATTATTCTATGATGTTTTGAAATATTTTTATTGAGTAATTGTGTCGTTTTGTGAGAGGCGTTCAGTCAAAGCATCAAAGAATAAATACCTACAAATTTCCCTTGAACTCCTTTTGGTCCTTGTTTTCCAGTGATTCCAGGTGGTCCCTGAAAAAAACAAAACAAAACAAAAAACAAACAAACAAACAAACAAACAAAACAAACAAAAAGAAAACAGTTGGAAATCAATTAATTATTACACAGTATTTTTTATTTAGATTATAACTTTAAAGTATAAAGCCCCTGTCACACTTTAACATTTTAGAAAATGAATGCCGACTTGTAAAAAAAGATGTTATGACTTTTTTATTCATATCAGATAAATATTTGATTTGATTGTTAACATTAGACGTCCAAAAGAGGCTTCCAATTGAGTTTTTATTTCATCTTCAACTTAGACATCTTTTCATAATTTGGCACAAGTTGTCTAAAACTTTATACTGTGTTATACTGGGTTTACTTACAATCGGTCCAGTTTCTCCAGGAAGACCCAAAGGCCCAGGAGGTCCTCTACGTTTCTGTAAGATTAAAAAAAAATTACAGTAAAGGGATTTTAGTTTAGTTTGAGGTTTTGATTGTTATTCTATGTATAATATGCACGTAAGATGCTGGCCAATATTGATCATTAGTAAAAATGAAAATGATTTAAATGCATTCAGGGATGAAAACAAAAATGCTTACCGGCCAGGATGACACAAGCTTTTTATAGATTTTCTTTTTCTGTAAGACAATGAAGAATACACTACTGTTACCAATAAATATGTAGCAATTTTATTTTATTAATAGTTTGTAAGAAAGTGCTTAACAGAAAAGTGAATATTTAAATGCATTTGGGCAGATTTACAGGACTTCTCATTAGTAGAAATGACAAATTAAAACAGTTGTCATTTAAACAGATAACCAGTCTTTTTAGAGAGGGTTTTGCTTTTTTCCCCGTCATTTAACTTCTTTCTTGTTACCAGTAGTCTTCTCGTTATCGTCCCTTTTTCTCTTAATGCACTGTGGTAAATAATTGTTTGCTAGAGACAAAACCAGAGCCGACACCTTGAAGTCCTCCCACTCTTCTTCAGAGGTTTTGAATACAACAATGACCGACATCCCAGGAGGTCCATCAGGGCCTCTGTATCCTGTCTGCCCGGTCCTGCCCATCACACCCTGATAGCCCTGACAGGTCAGAGAACAACACATTTTCGTAAAGAAGAAAATAAGTTCACTTCAAGATCTTATTGTCAATTGGATTTTTAAATACATTACATTAGAAACACGAGACTGGTTTAACTGTGGCAACAATGGAAAACATGAACAAGCCACACAGGGCTATGGATTTGAACTTCAACATTTTGAAGCCAGGCTTGTCTTTGTTATCTGAAATTTTTGTACTGTTTTTTGAAGGATACATTACTTTATCTCCTTTAAGTCCTGATGGTCCTGGTGGTCCTGGTGGTCCTGGAAGTCCTGGTAAACCCTGCAGTCCCTGAAGAAGAAACATGGTACAACAATTAGATCATTGTAAAGCTTTTTATTGAATGCGCCTGAAAAAAGGGCAAATAAACTGAATATCTTTAGCATGAATTCCACACAGAACTAAAACATCCATGTTAGGTTTATTGGTAACTAGATTGTTCCTGTGTGTTGGTAGCCTGGCCCTTGCCTTCCTACGCAGTTCCGCTCAATTCTAGTTTCCCTTCACTGCCTCGTATGAAGCAAAGTGAAGGACAAGGGTCTGGTTTTTTACCAGGCTAATGTGTTGGTGAAAGTGTGAATTGTTTTTTATTTAATTAGTTTTTATGTCCATGTGATGGACTAGAGACCTGTCCTCAGGGTGTACTCAATCCCTCACTGACTCCTGAAAACTGACCAGCTCTCCATGACCCAGAAAGACATTGGTAAAGAAAATGGGTGGATGGATCTGAGCCATCATTTTACAAAATTATTCCTAAATGTATTTACTTGACTAATCATGCCAATAATTTCTAAATATACACAGGTTGTTAGAATACACACAAAACCAGAACATCCTGGAAGAAGAACAGCCTCTCTTACATGTGTTTGTCCTACTGTTTGAGTTAAAACATCTGCAGCGAAATAGACCGTTAAATATGAAACTGTTACCTGATATTCTCCTGAATGAATGAACAAATATCTTATATGAATAAAGATTTGTTTAGAAAAGACTGTAAACATAAAAAAATATGAAAACCTAAAGATCCAGTTAGAAACATAATGCATGTAAGATAAAAATAGAATACCCCATTTGCAGTACCACAAATCAGCCAGAAGGTTGAGCCAAAAGCCTTCCTTTTAACTTTATACAACTTCGGGTTGGAAAAAAAGAGATCAAACTATCACATAGAAATAAATATTTCACTCTGAATGATGTAAACATAAATACTTACACTTGGACCTCTGATGCCATGCTTCAGTTGTGTCTCAGGTTGTGTGACTGTGTTAATCTGAGGCTGATCAGTTGATTTATCAGCTTCAGTCTGGGACTGGATGAGGAAATCTTCAGTGTTGAACTGAGACATTAAATCTGATGAGGACTGATATGTTCCTCCATCCATCTCTGTGTGTCTGTGCACTTCTCCTTCCAGCTCTAAATCTGACTCGATTTCCTCTTTCTCCACTCCACCCTCTTGTTCTTGGTCTGGAAAGGCCCTTAGCTTTGCTTTAGCTTCTGTCATTTTGTCTCCGTCCTGTGCTTCACAAGACGAGACATTTTTGATTTCTGAGTCCAAATCACAGTCGTTCTGCACTTCTCTGCTCTGTGATGAGGGTGTTGAAGTGTTCAGGTTTGGAGTTGAATTTTTCAGAGTTTCCTCTTCTTGTTCTTCCTGTTCAAAGTGCTCAAGAGTTGGAGTAACAGCTTCTGAAAGGGGAGACGTTTTCACCGTTGATGATGCTTCTTTGAAATCTCCTCCTCCCTCAGGTGATGGGTGCGTGCTGGAAACAAAAAGCTCTGATTCTGCAGTGGGGTGAGCGATGAGGGAAGGAGTGGAATTAAAGTGGGATTCATTCAATGATAGGTTTGTTTCTGTGGAGTTTATAGGATCTGAGAGAGTCATCTCAACACTGTCTGTGTCAGACAGCATATTATTTACTCCAATGGAAAGCCGTTGAACTTGCTGATCCCTGCTTAATTTCTTAGCTGAAGGACTTCCTGTGATGCCTTCTTCTGAGCTCCAAAGACCCATCACACTCTCCACGCCAGGGCCAGAGCTGTGGTCACTCTCAGCGTTTGCTTTGCCTTTTTCTCTCCCAATTAGACTTGTTTCTGCACCATCCTGAGTTTTCCACTCAGCTTTGTTGACTCCATCATTTCTGTTTATCCCTGGAGTCAGCTGAGGGTGACCAGCCTGCAGAATAGATCCATGAGGTGATGTCTCTGCTTCTGAAGATCCTCTGAGTACAGGCTGAATGTTTATCTCACCAAAAGATTCAACCTGTTAGGAAGGTTTAATATCAAGAAAGAGTCTACATGCATCACTTTCCTTTTTCAAGTACAGTTTCCTACAAAATAACATAAAATTTAACAACAGTTTACTTTAAAGTAACAGTAATAAATAGAGTTAAAACTTAAAAACTTGTGAAGTTTGTAGATTGAAATATATTCCAGAGTGTCAAATGGTCTAAATTCATTTTTCTAAAAATTTGTTTTTGTTTGAAAAAGCAGACACACCTAGTTACTTTGTGTTGTGGATAGGTGATGGAGTTTTGTCTTGGTTTGGATCTTATCTGGAGTTTTTCTGTTCATTTAGGGGAATACTTCTCTTCTACAGCTCCTCTGACGTGTGGAGTCCCTCAGGACTCTATTCTAGGTCCTCAGCGTTTTTTTTTTTTTTTAATTTTTTTACATGTTGCCTTCAGGATCCATTTTTAGAAAATATAAGGTTCCTTTATTCCACTGTTTTGCTGATGACATTCAGGTTTATCTGCCCATTAAGCCAGACTCAGTAAATCAAATCCAACCCCTTCGGAGCTCTCTGAACCACATAAAAATCTGGTTGAATATGAATTTCCTGAATGAAGTAATCAGCTTTGGTAAATATATTTCTCTTGACAATCTTGGTCTCTTGGTTTCATACAGCTGCTCTGCTGTCAGGAATCTGGGTGTGATTTTTATTGTTCCTTTAAATTGGAGAAAAGGATGAAAGCAGGTCTGAAACCGTTTTTTTTCCAACTAAAACTTATTGCCAACATGAATTCGTATCTCCCCACCGAAGACGTTGAAAAAGTGATTCATGCTGTTATTATCTCTTGTTTGATTAAATGTAGTGTTTTGTATGTTGGTTTAAATCAGTCTTTCCTGCGTTGTTTACAAGTTGTCCAGAATGAAGTACTTCGTCTTCTGGCTTTTCTCCATTGGCTTCCTGTTTGCTTTAGGATAGATTTTAAGATTTTACTGCTACTTTTAAGGTTCTGAAAGGTCTGAGGCCATCACACCCATGTGATCTCCTTAACATCCACACTCCAGTCAGAGCTCAGATGACCTAACAGAGCTTGGTTGAATTGTGAAACACTTTGGTCGACTTCTCTTGTTTTTATGTGCGATACAAAAGTCCAAAACAGGTAACAGTTAGGCAGATCAGGTGTTTTCTGCAAGATCAAGTGATAAAGTGAATCTAGTAATCTTTTGTGTACACTTAAGGATGTTTAAGTTTGTAGATGTTAAGTCATATTTTAAAATGGTAAGAAAGAGAAGCTAACCCTCATTTCCTCCTCAGGCATTTTTTTTATTGTTTACTTATTTAATTTGGTGAACTTATTGCTTGTGTCACAGCTTGTGGCATAATTGTTTTTGAGGAAATTTTTCTTTTTGCTGAAGGTTTTTGCTTTTTCTTTACACTTTTTTAAAATTATTACTCTGTCATTTTGCCCCATCTGGACACAGTTTTTTTTGCAAAAATATAAATATTTATCATCTTTTGCCTGAATATTTAAGTCACCAATGTCAGATGCTGATTTGAAGTACAGAGAGTATGCATAAATACATAAATCAGAGCCAGTTTGATGGTTGCACAGATAGTCAGTCCAGTGTGGTTCTAAATATTAAAGATAACACTAAATATCTGCATTATCTAAATGAAATTTATAACCTGTCTGACACATTTTAAGTTTATAACTAATGCTTTACTAATAGAAAATCTGTATTACAAACAACCAGACTTACATATAGAAGAAAGAGCAGGACTGGAACAAAATCAGCAAACATGACTTCAGCTGAGAGCTGCTGAGCTCAGACCTGCTTCATGATCCTCTGGAGCTGCTCTGGAAAACACTTCCCTTCATGGACCCGACATGTTCACAACCCGACCGAGGGTACAGATCATCAAATGGAGCAGGTTTCCATCTTCTTATAATGGCAATACAATGCCAGACAGGCTGGTGTCCAGGACTTTAATCCTCAGTGAGTTTACAGTTAGCTCACGCCTCAGAGTGTGAGCAACACTTAGGTGTGTTGTCTGCACAGCCTGTTGGTATTAAAAAGGTGTTGGACCGTTTCTGCCTGTTGGGTTCCAATCTGAGCAGATGATCAGACAAGTGAGACTCAAACTGCAATTTCCAATAATATTCTGTTGGTTTTATGAATCATTTTGTCTGTTTTTGCACAAAACATTCTCATTGAAGCCTTCTTCGTTTTTTTTATTTTTGTCCGGAGCGAGAAGAGTAGCCCTGAGGCCCAGGTGAGGAATGTGACATGAAGATCAGAAGAGGTCAACCACGTCAAGGGGAGTGTTTAAGGATGATGGGGATGAGCTGGCTCCTCCCACTTGGGTCCAGTTTAATGTTTAAATTCCTAAACTTAGTCAGCAGGTGGTGTTCTCTCATTTAAATCAAGATCTCTTTTTGCTGCACTGAGAAACAGAACTGTCATCAGCTCAACTTTTATGACACAGTGATTAACACCTGGATTCACCACTGTTAGCAAAATGTTAGAGTATATTAGCTGCCACAGCAAAGTGACCTTGTCCAACACAAAAAGAGCTGCAACACAGTCAATTTTACAGATGCTGTGCAAAAAGTAGGTGTTGTAGTACCATGGAGCAGGGACGGAGCTAGACTTTTTGTAAGGTACAGGTGCTTTTTAGGTGGGCACATACAAGTAATGAAAACCATTCTAATGAAAACCATTTGAAAACCTCTCCTTGGGCTGCTACCTTATCGTGGTGGAGGGGTTTGAGTGTCCCAATGATCCTAGGAGCTATGCTGTCTGGGGCTTTATGCCCCTGGTAGGGTCACCCATGGCAGACATGTCCTAGGTGAGGAACCAGACAAAGCGCAGCCCGAAGAACCCTTATGATGGATATAAACATTGGATCTGGCGTTCCCTCGCCCGGACGCGGGTCACCGGAGCCCCCCTCTGGAGTCAGGCCTGGAGGTGGGGCATGATGGCGAGCGCCTGGTGGCCGGGCTTTCACCCACRGAGCCCGGCCGGGCTCAGCCCGAAGAGGAGACGTGGGTCCCCCTTCCAACGGACTCACCACCCGTAGGAGGGGCCAAAGGGGTCGGGTGCATTGTGAAATGGGCAGCGGCCGATGGAGTGGGCCCTGGCGGTCTGATCCTCGGCTACAGAAGCTGGCCCTTGGGACGTGGAACGTCGCTTCTCTGGTGGGGAAGGAGCCGGAGCTCGTGTGCGAGGCTGAGAGGTTTCGGCTAGAAATAGTCGGCCTCACCTCGACGCATGGCTCTGGTTCTGGAACCAGTCTCCTTGAGAGGGGCTGGACGTACTTCCACTCTGGAGTTGCCTGCGGTGAGAGGCGCCGGGCAGGAGTGGGCATACTTGTTGCCCCGATCTTGGCGCCTGTACATTAAGGTTTATCCCCGGTGAACGAGAGGGTGGCCTCCCTCCGCCTACGGGTGGGGGGGACGGGTTCTGAC